TGAGAAGCAGCCAATTCAAATTATGTTTTGGGATGCAATTCTCTTAAGATGTAAAGGACCCTGTCATATTTGGGAACTCAACACATTTGAAGATTGAAGGCACTTTCAGCAGATAATTGACGAGGAGAATCTGGCAATTCAAGAGTGAGAAGCGTTCAACTGTGAGCAAGCTGCTATTCTGGGAACATGACAGTACCAGAAGCTTACAGATTTTAACCATACAATTGTGGAATTGAATCAAGCTGAAGGACAGACTGGGAGGAACAAGTGAAAGAGGAGAAAGGCAGAACAAATTTTTAAAGAGAAGGAGCTTCAATTTACAAGCTGGGGTGGGATTAACTGGGTCTCATATCGTGAGCGAGTTCTAGAGCCTAAATTGTATCTATGGATGGATACATTAAGAAGCCAGCTCTCTCTCCCATACCTCTACCTTGTAGAAGAAAATGCCCCTTGCCATCAAACGGCCTGGCAGGTTGACATAACTGAATGGCAATCTCATGGGATTATTACCCTAGATTGGCCATTGAAGTCGCCGGATTTAAACCAGATTGAACTGATCTGGAAATACAAAAAGGACGATGGTTCTACATAGAAATTTCTGGGCAGTAGCCGGGTAGCTGTGGAGGGTGCAAAACATGCACTTTTGGAGACCTGGGAGGCACTTCCACAGGCAGTAATTGACCGAGAGTGTCAATCATTCAATGAGAAACTTCAAAAGGTGATACTTCATGATGGAAACAATTTCAATGGCTAGAGGCTTGGTAGTATTGGTATAGGATAATGGGACAATCCTTCTTTCTGTATCGTATTTATTTATTAGTTGTGTTGTCCCGCATCATTTTCCTATTGGCCTGGTGATCATTACTTAATGTAGGTGTCCAACTTCGACTCGGCCGTGGGAGTAGACTACAGTATCAGGATTCCCTACATGTATTGTTACTACACAATACTTATGCTTTAAGATTTCCCCAGGCGCCTCATACCTTGTCAGAAATGGTCCCCTAACCTCAATAGATCATAACACAGTTACTGTACCCTACTTGCCCAATTGATATGAAAAAATCTCCAGAGGCAGTCAAGAAGTTGGGATATTTTTCCAAGTCAAAACCCCAATTTCCGAAAATTTGTGCTATCCCTGAACTCATTGTAAGCTCTAAGGTATTTTCTAATCCCCGCGGGACCTACTGGTACAGTATGCTAAAAATTGCCAAGCCTAATCTCCACCTTCTGGGAACTTTTGCAACGAGCAAGTACTGTACTAGCAGTCTTAGAGTTCGATAGCTAGACAATTAGAGCTATGATATTACGGTAGCCTACGGCGGGTCAAATGTAAGATACCGGTAGGTGCAGAAAAACCTTTGCAGGTGACAACGGGCACTGTACTGTTGGGCTCGTTGGTGGCCATGGCGTAGGTTGTGACAAGTGTGTAGTCTACTCGAGTATCATACTCGAGTACGTATTAGATGGAGCGGGTCTTCGCCATCTGCTGGTGTTTCAAGCCCTGTGCTTTCTACTATCCGATCAAGAGCAGCGCCCCCCTCACCATCCTGCACAAGAGGTCCCCCACAGTGCCCCACCAAGAGCTAAGGTCAGGTAACCGCTAGAGGCCGTCAAACTACTGGAATTGGGGAAGAAGCTCGGCAAGAGACATACTCGCCTGTCTTTTGGGGGAGCTCACTATGTAGGGAAATATCGTACCGGTACTTGAGTGACAGGAGTTTAACATAGTAGGAACCCAATAGGGTAGGAATTTACTCCTGCGCAAATTAAGTGCCCGAAACAAGGGCGCGACAATGATTGATCATCATCAACCTTCATATCCTGCCAACCCCACGACTAGTATGATACTCCCTGCTACCACAGCCGGTACATACTACACTAATTCTTAGTTCTCAATCTGCTATATTTCTATTATCAATTTTAGAGTTTATCTTGCTAAATAAATATCTTTATTTTTTCTACCAAGTTGTGCCACTTTTCACCTTGCGCGGTCGGAAAGTCGTTCGTATTCAAGCTACTATACTCGTCAGAAGAATCGGTGTCATTGTTTGCGTGTTTGTTTCGTCCCATAGGTTCCCTATTTCGCCGACAGGTAAACAGAGGAGAGGGAGGAGGGCCTCCCTTACATACACTTTACCGCAAAACTTTCTCCAACAAGCCCTTCCGAAAACAGCCATTCAAACAAAGCCATTAGAGCCCCGGCCATAATACAAATATAGGCATCATATCCTCATCAGACAACCTATAAACCTAGCTTTCTTCCCCACAGTACCCGTTGCCACTTGCAAAGGTTTTTCTGCACCTGTCCTATATTTGATCCGCCCTAATAGCCGTGGGGTCTTCCATAGTGTGTGTATAGTGTATATATATCATGTGTTCCATCCCAGTGGTCAAGGTATTCGCTTGGTCAAGGGGATATCCCGTTGACCAAGTAGAACATTCACCTACCCCAGTCACAAAGTAATTTTTTTGTTTTGATTTGAAAGGGTTCAGGGAATGTTTTTCGAGCTCTCATAAGTGAACCCCCCCCCTCGAGCTACTTTAATGCACTCTCCAGCCCACAATCTTTCCCTCCTTCAATAATATTCCATTTATTAACTCCTCCTTCGCTATGGGGCCCAGCAATGACCTATATTCCCCACTTGCTTTGAAGGCGTACCAAGAATCAAATATATGGCTTCGCTTCCCTTAATATAAAGACGGTATCTGCGATCTCCATGCAAGCACCTTTCCAGTCTAATGGAGTGGAACTCACTGAATAAGCTCCCAGCTCACAGTGAGCCCGGCAACAAAACAAATCTGCAACGTCGGGTCAGCTAACCTTCCAAAAGCCAATAGTACACAGATATATCCAACTCCAGCCATCCTAATAAGCAGCCCACTATGATTAGAAGTGAGATAGCTAACCGGAAATTAGCGATGTTGAGCGAAAGTGGGGATTAGTGATATAGGGTCATTTTCGTAGTGTAGGGAGACGAAAAAGCATGGACTGTGCTCTTATTACCCCTTTTACAATGACGAAGGAGGAGGCTAGTGAAAAAATCAGAGGATTCGATTGAGTTCACCGAATTTTAGGCTAGAAGTTGGGAGAACAACAGTCGAGGAGCACAGAGGCGACTGAATGAAGGACAATTCTTTCAATAAAACTAGTAACCCTACATCCCAGGACCCTAGATAAAACACTCTACCAATTACATAACATGATACTCCTGCACCTATCTAGCTTCTCCCGCATAAGAGCACAATTCCCCTGGACCCCCCGAAATTATTCTCTGAATATTTCACTCCCTTCATCCCCGATCACCCGCGGGTTTAAATTCCCCCATCCTTCATGAATGGGATGGGTTTGAACTTAACATAATTTACCGCTAGGATATAGCATATATAATTTGAACAATAAGAAGGAAAATACTCAACGAATTGCCATCCATTTTCACACCACCACCTCCCTCTCCCCGCTTGTGTTCTTCATGTATCGAAATCGTAATATACACTCTATTTCACAATTAGAGTTCTAGCAGTTCAAAAGGTGCACCAGGCCTAAAACAAAGTGTTGCATGCGGCCGTGAATATTTGGATCCCAAGACAGGATTCTGAGGGGAAGAAAGGTAGCTTTTTCTGATGACGGGTATTGTTTATAATAGATGATGAGGAAAGCTAACTTCAAAGAAGAAGAAAAAGGGATAACCGTTGTTTATACAAAGGCTAACTTCTAGTTGGTAGGTTGTAGGTTTCCGGTTACATATTTAACAAGAAACTAAGCTATAACCACCCGAAAACCTGCTTTCTGAGTATGAATGACATGACCATTGGGCTGTGAGAATGAGTGAGGCGACATTTTTGGGTCCTCCCGATCAAAAAAAAAACATATTTTCAAATCCTGATACGCAGCTCCCAAGTAATTCTAATTGTGAAAGGAAAGAAAAAAAATACCAGGTTTTATTCTCCTTCATTTGCTCCTTCATTCCTGGAGTTTTTTTTTCGGTTAGTCTGGAGGTTCCGGAGCCTACAGGGTTTAAGAATCATGAAATTTCTAATGCATATTTCGAATCGCTCGAACCATGGTAAATGGCCATAGACTACCCGAGTTTTTCTCCCCCCCCCCCCGAAAACAAAAAAGGCTTGGGGGACATTAACAAACGAGTTGAACCAATATCAATTTCTTGAAGGTATGATAACTCGCATCTCCGCTCTGTCAGACTTTTTTCGTTATATTCCAAGAAGCGCCGATGTGAGGGGATGTGAAGATATACTATTCCCCCCAATGCGCGTGTTGGATTGGGGCTCACACATCTACAGGAGCTGGTATGCAGATACTATCTACTACTATTGTAGTATGTGTAGTGGTAGGCTGATTCCCGAATGATAGTATGATATGATCTATTTCTTTTTCCAACACGTCTAGGGGGGTTTGAGAAGATGAAACGTCGCTGCGCATTTCGGGGTTCAAAGGGGGGGGTGTCGTCACCGTATTGTAGAGTAGAGTACGACAGTATCAGATGGGTGGCTTCTTGAGGAGGTGGTGGGGCTGTTCTAATGGGAATGGGGATTGGTGGGAGTTGAAAAGTTTGGGAAACTCAGTTTCACATAACATACCACCGAGCACGATATCATACGAACAAACCTGTATCGCACGCAACGACAGCCCGAGTGACATCCCATGTCGAACGTTAGACCTTCCACTATGATACGACCACTCTACTCTCCGCCACGCCACCAGACATAGCGCAAACGAAGCTTGATTTAAAACTCTATTACAGTATATTCTTCAAGATGTCCACCATATATCCCAACCATGCCGTACTGATCCGCCATGACTATAACGATATCGCAATCATACCTACCCAACGATCGCAGTCAAAACAATGCAAAACGCGAGGCACCATAAAAAAAATAAGAACAAAGATCGCTGGCCAAATCAAACCAAGCCAAACCCGCCCGCTACGCTAATAACAAAGACCCGGAACGACGGTATAATAGACGCAGAGAAAAGAAAAGGGAAAAAAAAAAAACGGTCATGACTAGAATATGACGAATGGATAGATACAAAGAAAACTCTTATATAAAGAACGTCAAGAAATCAAGAGTCATTACTCTCCCTATCAGCACTTTCGTACCCACCGTCTACATCACCATCTTCATCACCATCACCACCGCCATCGCCATCCGCATCCGCATCTCCCTCCTCAGTGCCCTCCGCCCCCTCGTCACCGCCAAGTGTCGTATGCTGACTATCCCGATTAGAACTACCGCAACTTTCTTCCAGTGGATGCTGGGTAAACCAGCCCAGCGTGGCAGGACTCAATCCCCATTCGTCCTCTCTGGCGCCTCCTCCCCTGCTGCCGCTACTCGCCCGGCGTATCAAGCAGCCGACACCAGCGCAACCATCGGGCGGATAAGAGCTACTCCTACCCGTGCCCGCGATACAGCTGACAGGGGTGACGCTACCTGTGTTAGCAGGGCTCGCGCCTCGAGAGAACTTACGCCCGACCTTGCGTCTTCCACTGGTGCTACTTGACGCCATTGAGCCCTTTCGGCTCCTTCTACGGGAAGGGAAGGGCACAGAAAGTTGTGGGCTGGGGATGCCGGCAGGGTCTGGGGCTTCCTCTTCTAATTGAAAGGGGCCGAATGATGAACCAGGGCTGTTGATAGCGGTGGTGAAAGATATGACGGGCTCGTCCAAGAAGGGTTTATAACTCCAGCACTCGTCGTCTGACCCCTCAGGTTTTGGGATATCATGGGAAGGTTCGTTCTCGATGGGGGTTTCGGTGAACTTTGGTAGTGATTTAATGTCGGACCAAGTTATCGTGGACGAACCGCTTGAGGGAAGGGGCGTGATGTACAAGACTTTCCGCCGGCCTTTCATCAGGCAGGTTCCGCGGAGGAATTCAACCGTCCAGATTCCATCCATCATTTCTCCCGGCCGGAGGTATTCGAGAGCGGTTTGTTTGTGGACTTTGCGTAGAGGCTGCCAGGTGCTGGTGCTCATTATGGGTTTTGTGGGGGTGGTGGTCGTGGAAGCCTGCGGGGAGAAGGAGGAGGCTTGGGAGTCGACCTCGAAAGAGCGACACCAGTCAAGGAGTTCGGAAAAGTTGGCTTCTATCTGGAGGGCAACGTCTCTGGCGGTTCCGGCGGTGATTCCCAGCGCTCTAACGAACCCGCGACTATACAAGCGACGATAAACCCTAGAGCGTATACCAAAGCTTTTCGGGACCATGCCGGGGGTTTCAGGTTCTCCCAACGCCCGGCAAGAGTATGTGAGGCCGGAAGTGGTGTTGGTGGATTGGGGATTACTACTTTCATATTGAGTTCCAGTTTCTGATTGGGCGCACGGATCAACCCATATGCCTTTCAATGGCGCTGGTGGGAGTAAGACTACTTCGATCACCCATGGGCGGGACATCGTGGGTGGGGCAACATCCTCCAGCTCCAAAAACCTAGATTCGTAGCCTTCCAGCACACCAAGCACGCGAGCAGTCGTTGCTTCTTTGTTCTCCCCAGTATTTGACGAAGAGGTTCCCGAAAAGCTAGTCGATGTACTCATGGTAGCTGTGAAACTTGCAGTAGTTGTCATATTGACTCCCTGTTGACTACTGCTGTCACCCAGGCCTTCCCGCTCCTGCCTCCGCCGTTTCCGTCGAATGCTTCCGTCACCCTGGCGTGAGTGCTTCCTTTTCTCACTGCGAGACTCGAGGAACGCCTCCATAGGGGCTAGGCGATCGCCGAGGCGATCCTCGAAACTTAGCACCTTGTTCTCAGACTCAATGCTCCGATCCTCGATCAACTCAATCTTCTCTTTCATCTCTTCCAACACCGAGCCGAACGTTTCCACGGTTTCGAGCCTCTCACTGTGCAATTTGAACTGCTCTCCATTAGCACGAAGGGCCGCGAAATTTGCCACAACATCCCTTCTAAGGTCAGCGAGTGCCTGTTTCATATCTGCGATCCCAGACGGCGGAATGGCGGTGGCAGTGGAGGCGGTCGCAGAGGCAGCCATCGACTGGATATTTTTGACAGATGCAGCAGTGGCCTCCAACTGGGTTCTCAAGTCTAGAACCATGGGGATCACATCCGCAATTAGATAATTGGTATTCTGGCTGTCTGGTTTTGACCCATGCTCGCTGCCGAGCTGCGAAGGTTGATAAGGTGGTTTTATCCGTCTAACAGTGAGCACGGAAGGACTCTGTTCGGAGGAACACGGATCACACTCTGTCGTCGTCCCACTGGCCACCGAAATCCCACTAGCTGCCACATTCACCCCCGAGCGATCCAGGCGTGCAGGCGTCTCCGTGTCCGAAATCTGCAGCGAATAGCGTCTCGAGGTGTTCTGTGCGAGCACAGTTCGAAGCGGGTTATCGACTGAATGAAAGCAAGCGTGATGACCGCAGTGACAATCCCCTGCATCCTCTCCTTCGTCCTCCTCCTCTTCCACCTCCTGGCACTCTTGCCGAAAGATTGCAGAAGTCAACCCCGCCGTTCCATCCCCAATCAATAGCTGCCGCTCCTCGCTAATCCGATTGACGCGTGGTGGCTCTCGGTTCTTTCTACCACCCTTACGTGCCCTCTTGCGTAGCCAGAAACGCTGGCATCCGCAATTATTTGCGATGGGCTGGGAGAGGTCATGGTAGTTACAGCCTCCCGTTGGCAATATCGATTCCATTATGACATGTTTGGATGAAAGGGGGTTTGAGAAGAATCGACAACGATTGACCAGCAAGCGAGCGAAGGGGAGAGGGGAGGGAAGGGAAGGGAAGGGACAAGAAGGGTCGGAGAGGGAGATGATAAGCCAAACTTACCGGATGGAAAAAGAAAGGAAGAAAGAAAAGCTTCCAGGGGACGGGAAGGAAATCCCTGGATCGAATTGGCAGGGAGGGGAGGGAAGAGGGAGGGAAGGAGGGAGAGAGGAAGGGAAAGTCTCAGAGTTTTTGAGAAAGGAGGGGCCACAAGGAACGTTTGTATCACCGAAACCGCCGGAACGGGTCTAGCTAACCGTCAGCACTCTGAGGTTTGCCTTGTGTCTTGGTATCAATCGTAGGGCGATGTAGAATGAGTCGGACAAAGTGCCGTATTCGCAGGATGAAGATAGCAGTATGTATCATACTGTATCTACTATAGAGTTGTTATTGTTGCCTCAAAACAGAGTCTATAAAAGGGCACAAATAAACAACCAGGCAAGGCGTTCTATAGAACTGCCGTCGTACTCTATCCGTATCATCCTATATAATGTTAGAAAAACCCCAATGCCGGCATCACACTCGGATATCCCACAATCACAATCGTGCAATTTCTCCAAACTCACAATCATTGCCCCTACCCACCTGAACAAAGTTGCACAATTGGAACGGGGCACCTCCCTCCACCTACCAAAGTTGATTAGAAAATAAGCCCCCCAAAAAACAGAAGAGCCATTCAACATCCACGGGCGCCAAAACAGGAACACGCTCCATCACGAGGTCCGTTCACCAAAAAGAACGATAAAAAGGGTCTGAGAGAAAACATAGCGGTAAATATTGAGGGAATAATCCCTGCCGATAATACACCATTTTATCATTAGTCCAAAGGGAGGGAGCCATCCTCCGGTATCATACCGTAGAAGCACCGACCGGAAAGGTTACCCGGAGAAGGACGGGGAGATTATTTAGGGAGACGGTATGTCCCGCGTAAGGGCGTGTGGATGTCGTTATCTGTTGATCCTGACTGGCGTCAACACGCATGTTTACTCGAGCACTGTGCTCTGCTGTACCCTACTGCGCTGTACTGCTAGATACTCGAGCACTTGGTAAGAATGAATTCGGTACTCCATAATCAACAGCAAACCCCGCAGTTTGGTTTTCATCGAATCCTTCATCATCAACTATACTCCATCTCCGACCAACAAACTTCGGTGCACCCGAGCACTGGCCCCGCCACTACCCAATGCAAAAATGCTCACCATCCTCCTCTCCCTCCTAAAAGAGCCCATCTTGCTGCTCCTCTCCCTGATCCACCCCCGCTTCCAACGGGACCACTTTGCACCTCACCCAACAGCTCCATTCGAAGGCTACTACACCCGAATACTGACCCCAGAAGCCACAATCCTCCTAATCCTCTCCTCCGTTCGAAAAGCCACACACAAACCCCACTACGTCCACTTCTCCTATCTCCCCCACCCTTCTTCCCCGTCCGAAGGAGAGAACTTTAGAATAGACCTCTTCCCAACAATAACCGACCAGCTGCTCCCCCGCACCTCGAGCAGCGACGTCCAGCCATTCAGGAGAATAGTAAGCGACGGGATAGGGGAATACACGATTACTCCTGAAAAGTAAACTTACTTGCTACGCTTTCCAGGGGGGGTAGAGGTGGATGTACAGCTTACGGAACGAACGCCGTGGTATAGGAGAGAGGAACTAAGTTCTCCTGAGGGCGCATTCGGGGAATTGGTCCATTTACTCCCGATACACTGGCACGTATTCTCCATCGACTCCCGCGCTGAATACCACATCCGTATACCAGAGAGAGCCGGACAGGAGGAAATTAGAGGCATTGGAAAAGCGCATATTGAGAAGAACTGGGGTGTAGCATTCCCGAGCGGCTGGACATGGGCTCAAGCCTTTTCACCCCCCAGAACCCCCACAGCTTCCAGTACTGCTCCTTCCCACGACGATGGAGCATTTAAACTAAGCCTCGCTGGTGGCCAAACCCTTCTCCAAAAAGCCTACCTCCTCTCATACACCTCGCCCACCACAACCCTTCGCTTCAAACCGCCATTCTCCCTCCTACCTTTGACCCTCTCGACACCCTTCTGTAGTGAGGAAATAGATTCCCGGGCGGGGCTTTTAAAAATTTCTGTGGCGAACTTTACGCACAAGATTGTACTTGCGGTCAAAGGACCAGAAATGCATCGAGGGTGGATTGGACTGCATTGTCCACTGAGCAGCGGGCATGGGAATGTTTTTGCGTACGAGAGCTTTGAGGGGGTTGTGGAGGTCTGCGTGTTTAGGAGGGGGTTGGGGGGGTGGGGTTACAAGTGGAGGGAGGTTGAGAGGAAGAGAATGGAAGGGTGTGCGCTGGAGTTTGGGGGTGGTTATAGCTTCAGAGTTCGGGCCGAAGGAGGAAAGTTTGACTAGGGTTGCAACGCGAATGTTTTTGCCCCAGCTAGTGTTGCATCGTGTATCATAGCCCAACTATGGTAGATCTAATCACAAGATATCACTCACATTATAGTCTCACAAGTTACTTTTTTTTTTTCGCCCCCTCTCCGCTATCGTGTCATACCTGACACATCCAGTATGATACCAGCAGTGTACCGGTACACTACGCCTACCCTCCCCTGAACCAAACTCAACTACAACCAACCACCCCACACAAACTACCCCGCAACACGATACCAAACTTAATATATGACTCACTCACACTCACCCCAAAACCCCAGAGCCTTGCACACCTACCCCCCCGCAGCCTAGCCAAGTGTCAACAAGCCAGCCCTAACAAAAACCCGAACATATGTAAGCCTGAGCCTGAGTCCCACTCTCAACACTTTCGTATGATACCACCCCTAACCAAAGCTATAGTCAACGCAGTATCATGACGGCTAAACCGGGAAATTAATAGAAGGTTGGGAGGGGGGGCAACAAGTTATATCTTGCATAGTTGGAACCGGTAGTTACGTTGTTTGCGTCGTAGAGTATTATCCTTGTGTGTGTGTGGGGGGGGGGTGGGAGGTAAGTGGGTATCGAGTGATTCCCAATGACGGTTAGTTTTTTTTGAGTATAGTATCATAGGGTAGGCGGTTGATACCGTGGCTAGGCTGGTGCGCTCCTTCCGGTACCGTGCTCCAATTGTGGCCGGTCCAAGTTCCTAAATGGGAACGGCCTCTTCTAGAAGGCTGTAATGGGATTTTTAGCTCTTGTATGGTTATTCAAGCAAGTCCTGGAACAGAACTAACTTAACTTGGGCTATGATTTCTTGTTTTCGTCCGGGGTCGTGCGAGAAGTCGTTGTGGTCGGAGTCGAAATTGAGGATGTTGTGGATGGCTTTGTCGAATAGTCTACTGCGACGTCGTTCCAATTGATGTTTTTGGGAGTGTTGGTGAATAGATTAAGGACAAGGTAAAGGTCATTGGAGGCTCTGAAAAGGGGTTCTTTACAAATTATCGGAGGAATTGTTTTTAAAGCATTTTTCTCAAGTGTTAATGGTTCGGTGTGCTCGGATTTTCCGAGAACTTTGGGTGGAGTCCACTACAAGTTTTTGGTTGACAGGCACCATGTCGTATCGTATCAGGGCTCGCTAGGCATCCACTTTGGATGGGTATGATAGGATGGGTGGGTAGGCAGGTAGATAGTCTTGGCAAGTTATCATACGGTCTATTTTGGAGGAGAGTGTTTTTTACATGGTAACGGTATTTGATGATTTGAATACATGTTTGAGTGGGTTGGATGGGGTAAGGTAAACAAAGGCAACCTAAGCGTTGGGTGGAGGGGCAGGGGTATGGGGGGGGGTACGGGTATTGGGTATGGGAAGGGATGGGAATCCTTGGATACATGTTAAGTTTTTTTTCCATTTTTCTTTTCCTTTTTCGGGTGGGGAGGGGCATAGATGGACTGACTGAGGGACTAAGTGAACCGCTCAAGAGACTGAAAAGGAAGGAAAAGGGGGGAAGGAGAGGAAGAAGAAAAGTTGGCACATAACGCCGAAAGCCATATCACCACTGAGGTATCATAGACATGCAAGCTCAAGGGAAGAACTGCTCCCGCGGGTTTCCATCCGTGCCCACCCTAACTCGTGAACCTCGGAACTCCACAGAAACCCTTAGGATAACCTCCGCATGACCGCCACCGCCATAGAGACGAAAGTCGGCCCGTCGCATTCCAACTCAAAAGTCACGTGCATACTTTGAATCAGTTGAGTAATGTTGCTGGTATCGGGTACAAATGATCCCAGAGCAATTGGCTCAGCCACTTATACACCTCGGGGGTCCCACGAGTCCCAAGAATGATTTTCTCTATATTGCCGCGAAGGTTGTAGCGGAGAAAGAGGTCTCGCTTGTAGAGTTCGGTAAGGAGATCGGGAGGAATATCTGGCCTAAACGGGTCACGAAAGTCGACTGGATCGAAGTGATAGGGTGTATCGACCACGGACCCTAGAGGGGGAGGGGAGAACGAGGATTAGCATTAAAATACAGGAGGGGTGGAAGGGAGAGAGGGGAGGGGGATATAGGAGAGCTCACAAGAACAGCCGAATCCACCTGTAATATTTGCGTGCGCTGTTAGCTTGTGGGCTAGGTTATGAGTGAATGTTAAACTTACCAAATTGTCTCATCATGTCCATATCCACAAGCGCCAAGTTGGATTCCAGCGCTGCTCCATATACTCCTTGGGCAGTCAGTTTCTCGCTCCAGTCCAGTCTGTGCATCCCTTTCAATGAGGTCTCAATCATCAGCCAAGAGAGTACTCGAAAAGGCAAAAAGTCCGCCACTGTATTATCAATTAGCCCGTTATCGCTATGGAGAGATAGGAAGCAAACAATTTGCGATCAGATCCTCTGGTCCAAACTCGCTAAGGACATCAGTATCGGCTTCAGTTAATGCGCTAAGCTCAAGGCCCTTCCGGATCCTTTGCGCTGCGAATTTCCACATTTTGACGTGGAACCAAACAATTCTTGGAGGGAAGGTGGACATGAATTTGGTTGTTGCTCTATTCACTTTGTTCCGCCAAGAAATCACAGTTCCACAGTGATCCGCGACAAAGGAGCGAAATTCCGTTAGTCGCATCGCTTGATGGGAATCATAGCGGAAGAGCTCGGGTGCTCCGCCTAGTGAGACAAGTAAGTAATTTGGTGCAGTAGGTTTATAGGGATGGTTAACATACCGAATTTATAATATGACTGGAGAAGCTCATTGTTCCTCAAGGCTTCCTTCATATTTTCGTATTCCTCAAGGGGTCTCACCCCTTCACTTGGATAGGGCTTGTCCCATAAGTTTAGCAAACGTTGCTTTTGATATCGCAAAGCAATGCGCGGCGTGAACTCTGGGAATACACTCAAGGGCGCGTCAAGCATGAAGTTCGGATTCCTGAGAAATGCCTCGAGTGATTTTACAAGGGATTTGTCTGAAACCCAAGTGATCGAACCAGTCGCTTCTTGTAACAAGAGTGTGTTTATCATATGGACCTGCTTGGTCTCCGCTTTGAATATTTCGAAGGTGAATTCGTCCTCTAACGTAGGCACTGGCCCACGCCTCCCAGGGAGCTTATAGCGGGTCTGGGGGGGCTTTATTTGCAAGTCCTGCAGTAAGGAATCGGCTTTTGGCCAGGCCTGCCATTCACGAAAAAATTTCAACCTCTTCTCCCATATCGGCCCGTCGCGAAGAAAATTCGATCGCAAGACCAAGACCAACCGTGGCGATAGAGGTGCCAGCTTGTGGTACTCAGTGACCGCCGGATCCTTCAGCCGAGGGGGTGAACCGTCGGCACCTGTACTTTCAAGGTTGGCGGTATCGAAGACAACGGGGCCCTCGAATATCCCGAATCCATTGTCGGTGATGACGAATTCGTCCTCGGGGGACTGTGGCTCACAGAAGGCCACGTACGATTCCGACATATGGAACACGTACATATTCGCATCGGCCGGAAACATTTCGCGGCCAATAGTGGTGAGCCACTCTCCATCTGCATCGATTTCCGTCCTCACAATCACCTCCAGATTTAGGAGCCAAACTTGACGTAGATCCGTGATGGATCTTTCCTTTAGGAACTCTCTGAGCATATCACGGTCGTTGTGCTTGTAAGTATCAATTGTCCCGGTATACTTGGACCAGAATTTGTGACTTCGGTACCTCATCACAAAGAGAAATTTGCGTAGGAGATTCCGGTCCTTGCGGGAGATGGAAAACTTGTACTCTCCGTTTTCATGGCCCCTCCTGATCCGACCGTAGATAATTGCCACACTACTTTCAAGCCTTGAAAGTAACTCCTCGACATGATAGACCTTCTCGTGATCTGCGTCTTTGTACATGTCGGGGATACCATAAGCCCTACCGACTTTGCAGTAATCGAGGACCCCAGATTTCAAGTCGTAAATCCTGATATACGGGTCCATAGCTGGATCGTACCTCGGTTTACGAGGTTTCCTCCCCCCTCTGCTACTAGGAACGTCCATTTCAATCTTGGCTTGGGGCTCGGGCTCTTGGGGAGCCTCTGAGGGGCCTGCTTCATCGGGCGAATCATCTTCGCCGCTATAAAGATTAGTAGCTTTCTCGATTGTACGGAGATCGAGTGATATCTACCCTCTGGAAGCTTCAGTATCCCCAGCGGTTATCCTTGCGGGTTTCTTTTTTCTTTGTTTCCTTTTTCTCCGGGCAGGTCGTGTTGACTCGTCGTAATTGGGCGGGGGCTGCACTGCGAAGGCCCGAAGAACAAATCTCGGGATATAATGGTGGTACTGCTCTTTTGCTTCGAGCGTGGGATTGGGCGCGTTCCGCATGTTTTCGCGTTGTGTGCTGCTCAAGGGCGGCGGGGTGCTTATATGTGAAGGTCTTTTTTATGTGAACGTCTGATGTGCGTATGGGTATATTAGGGAATATAAGGAATTGCTTTGGGCTCTCGGAATGATTAAGGATGCTGGAGGAATTCGGAGCGATTCGAGGGTTGATATTTATTGATAAACCACTACGGTAGGTTACTGACTGTAACCCCGCCTGGGAGTACTACCGGTAACGAGCACCTCAGTATTCAGCCATGTGGCTTACACTGACCTCTTCAGGCGTCTGTGCGGGTATGGTTGCACAGAGAGTTCGGAGTCATAAGCTGCAGCATATGATACAAAACGGCATATCACAATACCAGTACTGTACTCGAGCGCCGGCATTGCAGCGCATCCAATGTTCGAGCATTATTCTAATCCTATCATACTTGTATGATGAAACTTGGTATTGCACTAGGTACTGCACATACAAAATACTGCTCGGAAGAAAGCTGCTCTCCTCTCCTCCATTGCGCTTCATGCTCCACGTTTAGGAACGAGGTCTTATGAACGATTTGTCACTCCTGGTAGACTATATCACTACATACTTGGCAGTCCGACTGAGGTCGGCAATCGCTGTATCTTCCGGAGCACTTAAAACGGCACTATGCAGTACGGTAGGCTATCTAGGCCCTCCCGGAAGCCTCTTTTTTCTCTCTCGTTCGACAGCCCCATGGACCGTGCTATGATGGGCCAGATGAAGTGGAGCCATGCATCCAGGCGAGGGTCTTGGGGCCACATCGCCGTCCATATCTGTTACGAGAATCATCCATTTCCTGTAGCCTTTAAAATCGTACGCTAGATGGGAGACTTACCCGACATGGCTACATGGCACCGCTCCTCAAGAATTGGAGTATGACGCTGTGGCTAGAGTATCATCGAAGCCGCCAACACCGGTAATTTCCCTAGTGCTCCTAGGGCTGAGGAGATGTGTGTACGGTAGGGTGGACGCTTTAAACTGGCCAGTAGATTGGCCGTCGCAGAATGGTCTCCGCTGTCGGCAAAGCAACGATTGGCATGCGGGAAAGGTCGCGACAACGGAACAGCCACCGAACGCACCGAGCATTTCAGAGTAGAGTCCGCTTCAAGTTCTGGATCCTTGCGCAGATCCGAGAAGATCAATTGCAGCATCCCGGGGGCACAATTATCTGTCGGCTGCGGTCCAACCACTAGGCTTCACGGCAAGAATTGTTCAAGGTACAGTACCGGTACTTGTGCTGTGCTGTACGGCACTATGCAAGGTGGGCATGGTACTGTACAGGTATTCGAGTAGTCTCCTGATCCGCCAACTAAACCTTTACCCAACGCTGCATGCCTGACAGGTTTGACGCAGCTTTGATCTTGCTCAGCCCCCTTGCTCCATGCTGCGGGGTGTAAAATCGAATAAACAGCACAATTCGGTACGGCACCCGCTACGAAAGTTCTTCGAATCGGTAACGACGGCCAGCGACCCGCGAAAAAGAAAAAAACCAACCTTCGTTGAAAGTGGAAACCGACTACGTATCGTGAGTATAGGTGATCTAATTGAGCAAGTTAGTCTAATAGTAGTTGGATTGTCGGCGATCTGTCAGCTGTCGTGTGACCGTACGGTCTTTAGGGGACCATGATAATACCGGTATTTGATCGATACATTTCACTCCTGTGAGATTGATGGGCGATATCAGCCTTATTATTTAGTGCCGGTCTGTCTCAGCCCCTGCTCAAAAATTGACGTTGGAAACAGTAAAGTACAAGCAGCGGAAGGAGGATTTGTTCGAATGTCGTTTGAATATCGATAGAGGGGAACGAGGCTTGGTTTTTTTTTTTTTTTTTTTTTCGTCTCAAGAGAACATAAACGGACTTGGGCTGCGCCTTGTAGACGTGTCTCTTTCGTGAACGTCTTGCGGGGCCGCCATGAGAGTGCAGCAAGCGAATTCAAGGCATTAACTTGACGAGTGCGCTGTCGTGGCTTCTCGGTGAGCTACTCGAGTACAGCTCCATCGGGATTAACGGACAAGAGAGGGTTCAAAATTTAATATAATTTAATTCTATGCGTAGGCGGGTCGGCGAACAGTAAAGATGGTTGAATCCAAGATCGGTTTCCTACCGAAACCTTCAATCGCGAGTCAAAGGATGGGGCTTAGAGCTTCTACTCTTGCGGCAGTGGAAGGGGGAGTGGAGGATTCAACTCTGCTGCTCATCGACTAAACCAACATGATTTCGGCCTGAAGTTTTCGCCGCAGCGCCGGTTGCAGTGCTGTAGGGCCATGGCGCGCCTAAAAAAGTACAGCACAGCAGCTAACCAGAATCGCGGCACTGTGCTGGACCGTACTCGCGTTGAATGCCAAATATCCTCTCGGGATCAAGAAGGCATACAGCCCAAGGGCGGGGAGTGGGGCAGTCTAAACAACTTTACCCTCGATCCGTGGTACAGACGGTAAGTACCGGTAATCAACCCTCCTACGACTCCTTTGTCTACTAAAGTGCACAATTTTAATGCACGCCAGGTTCCTAACCATAAGTGCTGAGCATTGGAATAATTTGCACTTCCGAGCTGGTGATCGGGCATGTTCTAGTTTGCATTTCGAATTTGGTTGAGAGATAGAGAGAACAGATTTCTCCTCCAACCGTGATTTGGTGCTATAGGCGTTGGATTTACGGTGGAAGCCGGTGCGCTTAGAGAGGTTTCTATAATAGAAGGAGTGAAAGAATGCTTGAGACCATCGGAGATATCATTCTCATGGCATGGCAAAATTATCAGGAATTTTATCCGAGAGAGGGTGTGTCCTTCACCCTGGTAATTGGAACAAACCGATGACAACTTTTGTTTGCTGACTCCTCCCGTTAGTTACCGCATCACACAGGTACCGGTAGTACAGTCGCCAGTACCGGGGGGGGGGGGGGGAAATCCCGTTGGAGAAACAAAAAAATCAACACCCCAGGAGAAGCCCTCCTCCCCCCCCCAAAAAGGGGAAAAAAACTACCCCTTGATTGTCCCCATTTTCTCTCCCGCCCCCTCACAAGAAGGCCTGGAGAACGGGGCTGTACCGTAAATTAACTGGACTAACTTTAAAATAAATATTTTCCACCGCTTTAAGCGCTTTATCGTTTTCTCTCCCCCCAAAAGGGCCGGGGAATTATTTATAAGAAAAATTGCTGAGCTTTTGTCAACAAAATTGTATTGGGTCGAAAAACCCCCCCCGAAATAAAGTATTTTGAAACCAAATTTTTCAACAAAAAAAAACTACCGGGAGCCTTTTCAAAAAACAAAAGTAAAGGGGAACTTGGTGTAATGCCCCTTGGCCACCGCTAAATTTAAAGTATTTTTTTAAAAAAATAAATATATTTTTAACCTTTTAAA